TAATGATGGGATGCATGTAAAGCTATTATGAGATTTTAGCCATGTGATTCTTTATTGCTTCCAGTGGCTGTTTTGGAGATTTAGTGACTTAATACAAAAGAAACACTCTGTGATATCATAATCTCAAACTAAACTCTGGAGGTGAGCTTTTCAACTTAAGGATTCTATGAGGACTCTCCTACCACAGCTTACTGCAAACAAAACACAGCAGATTAGTTCAAATGTAAGAGACAACGTGAAAAGCTAGACTATGGTTTGACTATATATCGTCCAATTATGCTTGCTTCCAGCCTCAAATTATCGTGAGTTTAGTGTCATCTTCCTTTATGATTTTAATCCACGTACCTGGCATCTGGCACATAGTAAGAATGTAATGAATGGCACGGCTTGCTGTGTTCATTACTATTAGAAGCGGTTGTAGTGATGGTGCAGACCCAGCACCTGGCACAGTGCCCAGGAAACATTAACTATTCAAAACTATAATAATTATTTTTATATCTTTATTGCCCAAACTTCCGACATAATGCCTGGCACATAATAGAGAACAGAATGTTTTTTTTTTCCCCATTCAATTTCATTTTTGCCTGGGATCCACGTATCTTCTGTTTCCTCCAGAGTGGTACCTTGGTAAGATGGTCATAAAGCTCTCTGAAATGCTCATCCAATCTTTTTGTCTATTGTGGTTTCTTAAAAGTCGAAAATCTTTAAGGTCACTACTCAACTGAGAAAACTGAGGTTATGAATTACACTTCTAATACTTATATTTTGCTGTAGCTTGAAAAATAGCCTTCCCTGCTTTCCCCAACAGTCTCTCAGCCAAGCCATGATCAATCTCATCACTTATAGTCTTCCCTCTCTGGAGCAGAATGGCTCTCACATTTGTATATTTAATTTATCCTCCCCAAAATTAGCACAAGATTTGCTCCATGAACCCTTTTCCAAGGCCTCCAGTCCGTGCTGAGATCACAAGCATCAAATTAGTGCCACCTACTTAGTACTTAAGTCTGCTAACTTCCAATTGGTTTTGTTCCTTAAATGCCTATTTAAACTACTACCTGCCGTGTTCTAAACCCATGCGGGTGCTGGGAATACAGAGATCTAAGTCCTGTTACCCTAGTCATAGGAAGACAAATGTGTAGTTGGCATCACTGAAAAAATGTGATTAACCTAGCAGTAGAGAATGGGAAGACTGGCTGAATTCCTGCAAGCACTGGGTAAACTTTTGCAGAGAACAGAATTATGATTGAGGAGGTATTGAAATATGAGAAGTTAGCTAAGTGGAGAGAATAAGGTGATGTCCAGATGCGAAGAACTTGTCGAAAAAAACAAGTTCAGAACACGGTTCAATGTGGCTAGAACTCGAGAAGGGATGAAAAGAGATAATGAAATAGTATGTAAGGTTGGCTTATTTACTCATCTAGCATCAATCTAGTATCCAGGTTGTGCCCGTCACTGAATAGGGAGTGGGCACCAGAAAACCAGGACCTTGAGCTTGAGCTTTAAGGTTATTTAGAAAGAACAATGAACTGATAAGACAAATAAGTAGAAATTTTGGTAAGCATTAAAGAGGGAGAAAACAGTGCCATAGAGAGAAGGATAGGTAGGGACTAATTTGGAGAGCAGTGAGAGGGCAGCTCCAGGGGTGATATATTTGTAAGAACTAAAAGATGAAAGGACATGGAAAAAAATGATTTAATTTGGAATTAAAGGTCTCTGAGTTGGAAAAATCTTGGCATCACAGAAGAATCAAAAGAGTCATCATAGGTTAAACATTTGTGGCTAGGATGAGTAGTTTAAGAAGAGGTCAGAAAAGTAAACAAGAGCCAAGCCTCTGCAGGCCTTATAAAAGGTGGTAACTGCATTAGAAGACTAGCTGGAGGGGCTGAGACGCTCACTAAGTAAAGTGCTTGCCATCCAATCATGGGAACCTGATTTTACATCTCCAGGTACCCACATTAAAAAAAAAAAACTGAGCATGAGTATACACATGTATAATCCCAGCACTTGGGAGGCAAAGAAAAGAGTACCTCTAGAATTTGCTGATGGGAAAGTCTAATCAAATTCATGAGTTCAAGGTTCAGTGAGATACCCTGTCTCAAAAGTTAAGGTGGATGGTCACAAAGTGAGACACCTGATATTAATCTTGGTCCTCCATATGCACACGTGTTCACACACACACACACACACACACACACACACACACATACAGAGAGAGAGAGAGAGAGAGAGAGAGAGAGAGAGAGAATCAAGAAATGATGAAAGATTAGCAAAACGAAATCAGATTTGTGCTTCATAGAATAAATTACACTGGAAGTGCTTGGATCAGTAAGTTATTGTGACAGAAGCCTGAGAGCTCCTGAGTCTGTCTTCGGGGGCTCACCCTCTTCTCCCCTCCCAGTTTCTGATGCTGACACAGATGCAGAGAGGCAGGCTAAAGTTAGTGTTATCAAAGTCATATGCTGTTCAGTGGCAAGTGCTTTCTCCGAGTGCCAATTTCCTTTAGACTCTGCTAAGTTCTTTGAAAGTAGCTGTTCTGGTTTTCTTTCTGCTGCTGTGAAAAACACCATGACGAAAAAGAACTTGGAAGAGAAAAGATGTACTTGTCTTACACTTGCTGATCCCTGCCCATCAGTCAGGGCAGGAACTCAAGCAGGTACAGAAGGCAGAACCATAGAAGCAGCTGATTACTGACTTGCTCTGCACAGCTTCCTCAGCTACCTTTCTTTTTCTTCCTTCCTTCCTTCCTTCCTTCCTTCCTTCCTTCCTTCCTTCCTTTCTTCCTTCCTTCCTTCTTTCTTTCCTTTCCTCCTTCCTTCCATTCTTTATTTTTTTCTTTCTGTTTTCTAGACAGTATTTCTTTATATAGCCCTGGCTGTCTTGGAATTCACTCTATAGACCAGACTGGCCTGGAATTCACAAAGATCTGTCTGTCTCTGCCTCCTGAGGACTGTGACTAAAGGTGTATGCCACCACCACCCAGCTTCAGCTACTTTTCTTGTTTCCTGGGCCCAACTCCCTAGAGATGTCATCACCCATGGTGAACCAAGCCTTCTGATATTAATTTGCAATCAAGCTAATGTGATGGAGGTCAGTCCTCGGTTAAGATGGAGACCAGTCCTCGTTTGAGGGTCCCTCCCTCTCCAGGTGACTGGAGTCTGTGTCAAGTTGACAAAACCTAACCAGCACCCTAATGAAAGACATAGCAGAGTCTCTCTAGAGAGCCAAACAGCACCTGCTCTTCTGAGATCTGGACAAAGAAAGAATTTGTCATTTGGGCCTGTTCATGGCCAAAGGCAGCCAGCAGTCATCTTCAAATGCTAACTTCCCAGAAGATCACAAGGATATGAATTGCAAATGCTACTTGATCTAATATATGCTTCTCACTCTGCCAAAGCAGGGCTGTAATTAACTGAAAGAGTGAGGTAAATGTTTGTGAAAGTTCCTCGCTTTCCCTTACAGCCAGGAGATGAGACAAGGGGCTCTTTATCACATTTCCATCTCCTTCCACTACTGAAATGGTTCCTTAATGAAAAGTACTAAAATAAGGCCATCTTAACTCCAGAGGGGCTTGGAGACCGTGGAGACAGAACAGCCAATCAGCTAATAGATCTAATCTCATTTTCTGCCCCTGAAGAGTACCATCATTCCCACCTCACAGGGCCAGTGCAAGCAGTCAATGAGGAATGGGAGTGAATTTGATCTGTAAATTGCAAAGCAAGAGCTCTACCCTGTGATTCATTCCATATGATTGCAGGCACAGGTGCTTTTCTTTTCTTGGTCTCTCAGAGAAAATTTAACCACATTGACGGAGCTCAGTACAAGCCTATTTAGTTTTCACCTCAGCATCAGTTCTATTAAGTGCAATCTGACCTTAGATCTGGCACAGACAAAACAGACCATTCATTTCTCAGAATTAAGTCAAATTGATTCTCCAGTCTGTTAGCTTCCGAGTTTGGCGTGGTGGCAGGAAGAAATAAGGGGTGGCTTTGGGGAGCTAGTTCAGGCTTATCTTTTGCAGATGGCTTTGTCCTGTGGAAGTCAATACTTCTCCAGTGACCATCATCGAGGAGCAGGGCTTCACTTAACACTAAACCATATATGTGTGTGTCTTATATATTTATATATGGTGTGTATATATATATATATATATATATATATATATATATATGACATGGTCTCATGTATCCTAGGCCAGCCTTGAGCCCACTGTGAAGTCAAGGATGACCCTGAACTTCTGATTCTCTTTTCACCACCCTCTGAGTGTTGGGATTGCAGTTATGCACCCATCCAGCTCATGTGGAGTGAGCAATCGAACATAGGGTTCTGTGGATGTTAGCCAAGCATTCTACCAACTGAACTGTACTCCCAGCTCCTACAACAGCATGTCAGTCTGAAATGTGCCTCCAGAACAGTGGCAAGTGTAATCTTGGAAATTAGATTGCAAAAAGATCCACAGACCCGGGAGAGCAAAAGTAACTGGCCCTACGCGAGCAGCAACTTAGCACCACTGATCACAATTATTAAGTATTCCTGGAGATATTTTCGACAGTAAAAAGGAAGGAAAGGACGGTGGACTTTGTGCTATATTTTAGGGGGGTTGGTAATCCATAACTCCTTAAACTATCAGAGTAGCTTTTCAGGGTAGCGGCTGTTCTCTAGCATGAGACTTGGTAAGCACTAGATGATAACTGATAACTGCTAATAACATTAGTATGGATAATATTGGGAACAAATGCAGTAGAGGGTTTGAGTAACTTATCCAAGATCGCGGAGCTGGTGAGTGTTAAATAACTGTTCGAGCTCAAGTCTTTCTGACCAAAGCCTGGGTTTCTACTACTCTGCTCCTCAGCAACAGTGAAACATTGATGTCATTGAAACGCTTCGAAATTTTGAAATCCCGTTAGAAAGGGATTGATGAGTGGCAATTTGAAACCTTCAGGTAACTAAAACTATCTTTCATCTCTCTCTCTCGCCACACTTAGCTTTCTAAGTTGGTGTGAGCCATGGCCCAGCTGTACTACAAGAAGGTCAATTACTCACCTTACAGAGACCGCATTCCCCTGCAAATCGTGAGGGCTGAGACGGAGCTCTCTGCTGAGGAGAAGGCCTTCCTTAGTGCTGTGGAGAAGGGGGACTATGGCACCGTGAAGCAGGCGCTGCAGGAGGCTGAGATCTACTACAATGTCAACATCAACTGCGTGGATCCTTTGGGCAGGAACGCCCTGCTCATTGCCATCGAGAACGAGAACTTGGAGATCATGGAGCTACTGCTGAACCATAGCGTGTATGTGGGCGATGCATTACTCTATGCCATCCGCAAGGAAGTGGTGGGCGCTGTGGAGCTTCTGCTTAGCTACAGGAAGCCCGGTAGAGAGAAGCAGGTAAGAGAATTCACACTAGGTTGGCACCAGTCAGAATATTAGGGCATCAGAGTCCAAAGGAAAGGTTTGGCAGTCTGGAATTGAGAGGGCTTGTCTTAGAAACTGTTATCAGTTGTCTCGGGAGCTTCCCTGGGCTGTCCCAGCTGTTTACTCCTTTGCTGTGTCTCTTGGTCTTAGTTACTTATACATATTGAACACTTGACAGTGCGAAGGCATGCTCTTCATGTCTAGAATATGTAAACTCTTTCCACTTTCTTTACCACCTCCCATTATATCTTCATTTCCTTCCCGTACTCAAAAGTCACATTCTAGAAAAGAGAGCAAATCCAGACCTGCGCTTTCTCCTTGAAAGGCTGTTCTTCAGAAAAAGGCAAGAAGACTTTAGCCTTGAGTGCCGTAGTGCAAAGACGAAGAGAAGCCTCACTTGTTTTCCTAGTACACGCTATGTAACTGAATTCTACTCATAGGCATTTGCAAGTTTGCTTCCATGAATCTCATAATCTCTAAGTCACCAAAAGTTGGTATCTTTGTACAGTTATCTTTGATTTCTCAGTCAAATCTTGCCCCCATATTCAATCCACAAGCTTCATGGTTTCTCCCTCCATCTTTCTTTCCTCTCTAAGCCAGTCCCCACTAGTATTGTCTGCTCTGTCATCACTCTACTAGATGAGAGAGTCTCCTATTGCAGCCCCTAGACTGGCAGCAGCAGCATTTCCTGAGAACTGAGGAAAACTGCAAAGCCTTAGAGCCCCACTAAAAGGGTACTAAATCATAAGCTCTGGGATGTTGCTCAATAAGCTGTGCCTTAACAGGCCCTCAGAGGGGATTCTGATGGATGCTCAGGTTTGAGAATCACTGTCCTACCCTAACATGAAAATTTTTCTCATTAGTTTTACTGCATCAATTCTTTTTGCAGATCTGAAGGCATCCTGAAGAGTCTGATTTATCCTTTCTGAATTAGGAAAATGATCCTACTATTCTTGTCTGTCTCTTTAATACTACAATGTCTTCTATTAGTTTGTCCTCCATTGTTAGGAGGAAATGCTCGAGGTGATGTACTTTATGAAACAGAGGTCTGTTTTACTAACCATTTTTGAAGGCTGGATGTCCAAGATAAGGTGGCTTAGCTGCCAAACCTCTGACCTTGCTTGCATTATAGGCATGATAAAGAAAATGGAAAGGGAACTGGGCAAATATAGAAAGAGACAAACCGGCACCTTGATGAACATGGACAATGAAAATCTGTCATCTTCAAGCATTAGGAAATATGACCAAAGCTGGGCTTGAAGAAAATCCATAGCTTTTAATACAGATGCATTTAGGAAGAGAACAATGAAAATAAACTAAGTGACAACTCTCAAAGCACTGGGATTTTCAGAGTAGAAAATGGAGGGAAAATCTGGAACGGACAGATTAACAGTTCCTTGACTGAAATGCCTACATCCCCTTCTCCATCAGCATTTATAATACCCCCAATGAAAAGAAGGATTTCATCTTTCTTGTTCCTTGTTATATCACACTACCAGAGAAAAATGCCTGATAAATGTTTATTTAATGAATGAGTAATATGTAACCAGCACTGAGCTTAGCATCTTAACATGACTTATTCATTTAATCCTCTAGGGAACTCTATAAACTGAATATTATTATTTGTTACTATTATTATTATCATCATCATCATTCCTGTTTGCCAGTGAGAAACAAGACTGTTAAGTCAATTGTTTATGATCCCACTAACTATTGGAGTTAATAGTTTCTAAACCTTTTTATTTGCTAGGCTCTGATCACTCAACTAAATCAGGCTGTTGCTAAAAGTTTGGCAACAAAGGCTGGCGAGATGGCTCTTTAAGAACATGCATTGCATGCCTTTAATCCCAGCATTTGGGAGGCAGAGGCAGGTGGATCTCTCTGAGTTTAAGGTCAGTCTGGTCTACAGAAGGAGTCCCAGTACAGGCTCCAAGGCTACAGAGAGACCCTATCTCAAAAAATCCAAAAGAAAAGAAAAGAAAAGAAAAGAAAGAAAAGGAAAGAACATGTATTGCTCTAGCAGAGGACCTGAGTTCAGTTCCCAGCACCTAAATGGAATGCCTTGTGAGCACTTGTAACTCAATTCCAGGATATTATTCTATGCCCCTTATTTTGGTCTCCACAGGCACCTGCACTCATGTGCACAGCCATATAGACACACGAGCACACATAATTTAAAATGATAACCTAAGTCTTTTAAAAATTGGCAGCATCACAAGGCGTCTGAATGCACAACAGTAAAAACTGACTCAGACTCAGCACATTCAGTGAATGTCAGGGGTTTTTGGAAATGCTCATTCATGGTGTATCTATCACACAACCACATTGCAGCCTTTGTTCTGAACATACAATATGCACCCTCTACATTGCACACGATAACACTATATACAGTGACACTTCTCAGCCCAGATGGGGGACTATTGACTGATGTGAACTGCAGTGTTTTATTTTACATACCAAAGGGTTATAGTATTATGGGAGCATAATGGTATAATTATGGAAAACAAGGACTCAGTAATATTTTTCTTCTAATCCCTCAGCATGTTAAGCATTAAATTAGTATATCTTGGGATTAGATTGTTAAAATGTTTGATTTTAAGAGCTGTTCACTGAGCTATTTCATTTAAAAAATCTTTTAGTGGATTTTAGCTTGGGATCAGCACAGAACATCCAAGTTTCTTAAATAGTCCTAAACATAATTCTGCCATTGCATACTATATAGTTATAGATAGCAGCATTCTCAGCACTGGTGGTTATAAAATTAAAATATTGTTCAACTCTCAAAATCACCAAAAATGATCTATATTCTGCAGCATCAAACATTCAGTAAAGATTTAATTCTTTATATAAATATAAACAAGGACATTCATCTTATTAGTATGCAAATTAGGTCTCATCTTTAATAAAGTAGATCTTTTTAGAATAAATTTATTCATTAGTATCAGAAAATACTTAATATATGTATACCTATATTATATACCTGTACACCTGGGTTGGAAAAAAATTCATGGGTGAAAGAGAGTTTTAAAAGCCCTATACTTGGCCTCATTGCTTCTCTGGAACTCTTAGGATCCTAGCACAGAGAATATGAGATGGGTCCAAGAATAGAAGACAGATGAACTCCCTAGTAACAACAGGCCTAAGAAATTTAGAAAAGAAGTTCAGTTTGTTTCCTACTCAGTCCATCTTACCAAGGTCATCAAAACTGATTTGTTTTGTATCCCCTTCTCCTAGCTCAGCACCTGGGAGGCTTCTGAAGGCCTTCTCAACTACAAACCTCTAAGTTCCTGTACCACACTGGCTGTTTCCTTTATTTGAAAACAATCTCATGCCACCTAGTACTAGTGGGTGCCCTTATTCCTAGGAACATCTAGTCCTCTTACTGTGCACTATCAGTCTAATGCCCACATCTTTCCATGCTCTCTTAGTTAGGGCTTCTATTGCTGTGAAGAGACACCATGATTGCAAATCTTATAAAGGAAAACATTTAATTGGGGTGGCATACAGTTCCAGAGGCTTAGTCCATTATCATCATCATGGTGGCATGCAGGCAGACATGAAGCTGGAGAAGGAGCTAAGAGTTCTGCATCTTGACCTGCAGGCAACAGGAAGTGAACTGAGTCAGTGGATGTAGCTTGAACAAAGGAGACCTCAAAGCCCACCCCCACAATGACACACTTCTTTGAACAAAGCCACACCTCCTAATAGTGCCACTCCCTTTGGGGGTCATTTTCTTTCAAGCAACCACACATGCTTATGTTGAAATAGGAGCGGCAGGGCTGCGTCCCCGGCACCCGGCCGCCCGCATGGCTAGTTTATACCCAGAAATAATTACACGGAAACTGTATTCTTTCAAACACTGCCTGGCCCGGCTAGGTCCAGTTTCTTATTGGCTAGCTCTTACATATTGTTCTAACCCATTTCTAATATTCTGTGTAGCCCATGAGCTGGCTTACCAG